GGGGGCTCCTGGCATTGCTACTAGGAATAAGAAGCTACTAGGAGCAACAAAGGGCATCGCTACTAGTCACAAGGACGCTATTAGGGGCTCCTGGCATCGCCGCCAGGAAAAGAAGCTACTAGGACCAAAGGGCATCGCTACTACTAACAAGACGCCATTAGGGGCTCCTGGCATCGCTACTAGGAACAAGAAGCGACTAGGAGCAAAGGGCATCGCTACTAGCAACAAGGGCGCTATTAGGGGCTCCTGGCATCGCTACTAGGATCAAGAAGCTACTAGGAGCAAGGGTCGTTGCTACTAGTAACAAGGTTGTGTTTAGGGGCTCCTGGCATTGATACTAAAAAGCAGGCATCGCTACTTGGAAGAAGAAACTAGTAGGAGCAAAGGGTATCTCTACTAGCAACAAGAACGCTATTAGGGGCTTCTGGCAGCACTACTAGGAACAAGAAGCTACTAGGAGCAAAGGGCACCGCGACTAGTAACAAGGACGCTATTAAGGGCTCCTGCTACTAGGAAGAAGAGGCTAGTAGGAGCAAAGGGCATCGCTACTAGTAACAGGCGCGCAATTAGTGGCTCCTGGCATTTCTACTAGAAACAAAAGGGCATCGCTACTAGTAACAAGGACGCTATTAGGGGCCCTTTGCATTGCTACTAGGAACAAGAAGCTACTAGGAGCAAAGGGCATCGCTACCAGTAACAAGCAAGGACGCAATTGGGGGCTTCTGGCACTGCTACTAAGAACAAAAAGCAGCTAGCTACTAGAAGCAAAGGGCACCGCTACCAGTCACAAGGACGCTATTAGGCCCCTGGCATTGCTACTAGGAACAAGAAGCTACTAGGAGGAAAGGGCATCGCTGCTAGTAACAAGGATGCTATTACAGGCTCCTGGCATCACCACTAGGAACAAGAAGCTACCAGGAGCAAAGGGCATCGCTACTAGTAGCAAGGACGTTAGTAGGGGCTCCTGGCTACGAACAAGAAGCTACTAGGAGCAAAGGGCATCGCTACGAGTAACAAGGACGTTATTTGGGGCTCCTGGCATCGCTAATAGGAACAAGAAGCTACTAGGAGCAAAGGTCATCCCTACCAGTAACAAAGACGCTATTAGGGGCTCCTGGCATCGCCACTAGCAATAAGAAGCTACTAGGAGCAAAGGGCGCCGCTGCTAGAAACAAGGACGCTATTAGGGGCTCCTGGCACTGCTACTAGAAACCAGCAGCTACCAGGAGAAAAGGGCATCGCTACTAGTAACAAGGACGCTATTAGGGGCTCCTGGCATCGCTGCTAGTAACACGGACGCCATTAGCGGCTGCTACTGTGAACAAGCTACTAGGAGCCAAGGGC